ATGCAATCACACCTACATTCGCCAGGCCCGTACAGAAGGCCGAGCTTACTCGGTTGGCACAGACGTTCCTCCATGTGCCCAACTTCCACTGGATCGTCGTGGAAGATGCACCGCAGAAGACTGTCCTGGTCTCTCGATTTCTAGAGACAAGTGGCCTCATCTACACCCATCTGTCTGTGACAACACCACCGAATTACAAGCTCGGTAGGAATGATCCAAACTGGAAGAAGCCACGCGGGGTTGAGCAACGAAACGCGGCGCTAAGGTGGCTTAGGGAGAATCTCAAGCTATCTGACAAAGGCGTTGTTTACTTTGCCGACGATGATAATACTTACTCTGTCAAACTCTTTCACGAGGTGAGGCGGATGTCTACGAAAAATTAAAAAAAATTTTTTTAGATATGATCACATTAATGCGACCATTTTTGAGATATCACTTTTTCCTTCAATCGGTGATTTAATTCAGAACAGTTATATACTTATTTTATATGTTTTAAAATAATATAGTTATGATTGGAAAAATAATTCGAGATAAGATTAAAGCAATTAGAAAAAATGATTCGATTAATTATGCGAATGTGTCGTGTTTTATTTAGATATATACTAATTATGATTTATTGCTTCCAGATGGAGAAAATACAAAGAGTCGGCGTTTGGCCAGTTGGTTTAGTCGGTGGCCTAATGGTAGAGAAGCCTATTTGTGACAATGCTACTAATAAAGTAACAGGTTTTAACGCGGCATGGAAACCGGACCGGCCGTTTCCGCTTGATATGGCAGGTTTCGCGATTAATCTCGAGCTCTTATTCAAACACACCGATGCGTGGTTCTCGTACGACGTGCAAGGCGGTTATCAGGAGAGCGAAATACTTAGACAAATAGTCACGAAGGATCAGTTAGAACCACTGGCGGACTGCTGCACGAAGGTACCGAGAAATTCACTTGGACTTTTATTGATAATTTTTTAAAATATTTGTGAAAATCCAAATATTGTGTATTTTAGGTGTATGTGTGGCATACGCGAACAGAACCGCCGCAATTAAATGTCGAGCAGACGTTGATCAGAAAAGGTAAACGTTCCAACGCAGGCATTGAAGTATAAAGAAAGAAAATATTCTCATCATCATTCTATGTGCAATGAGTTGTGTTTTCCTTGAGAATCGGAAATTTAATTTGATATTATTACTATTAATAAAATACGATATCGTATGATATTGTTATGAATTGATATCGTTGATATTTTTTAAAAGATATTACAAAACACAGGGTATAGACGCTGTTTTTACTGACTTCTGCATATATCCTTATATATATATATATATATATATAT